ACTCTGGAGGCATTGCTGCGGCCGAGAGAGGGGCCTGACACCTGCCTGCATCCACTGGGGGGCAGGCAGCAGGGAAGGCCCGTCTTTCTCTGAGGCGTTCGGCTGCTGGCTGTCCCGAGGCGAAGGAAGGACGGGAAACGAGGAGCGAGGCCCGAGGGCGTCGAGTCCAGGTTTCCGTGCCTCCTTGCCCAGCGGGAGACGAGAGTGAAGAGGCCGTGGCGGCGTCACTGTCGTCTAAGCACTGGAAGAGGGGGAAAGGAGTGGCAAGGCATGGGAGCGTCGCTCACTGCAGTCCGCACCTCTTGTATCCCAGAGATGGAACAAATTGCTCTATTGAAAATGTGGGTACCACTGGACTCCGGGGAGCCAGCGGCGGAACATAAAATGAACAAAGATTCTCCACCCCACCAGGGATGCTAAGACAGGTGGCGCCGTCTTCCTGCGAAAGCTAGACGTCACAGTAGAGCTGGCTGTGACATCTTTTCCACAGGGGACTGACACCCTTGGCAACAAACAGACTGAGGAGAAACCACGAGTGACTCGGTAGCACATCGGGTCAAGCTCTTGGTCTCCTCAAACTGCTTCTGAACTGTGGAGAGCCGCTGGGCACAGTCTCCAACAGTGTCGCCGAAAAAGGCAAACCTTGTGAGATAGGAGCACTGAGAAAGCGAACTTTGGCGATATCTCGCACCTCTGCAAGGTTTAGGCATGGGACGCTTCTGGACCACCAGTGTGGACATCGTCTGACCGAGGGCCAGTGCTGTGACTTAAACCATTTTCTCGGTCAGTCACAATGCACAGCTCAACCCCGACTCAGAACTACCCTCGTGTACTGCGTGTTTTGGCCTCACACAGACTTGTAGTGGGGAAGAGGTGGTCTGCCATTAGCAAAGCCACCCCACCACCAAGGGTAGTGAGAGAGGAAAAAACTTTCTCTGCAGATTTTGGCATGTTTGGCTTTCCACATTGGCGCCAATATGCTTCCATACTGCTAAAGTTTTTTCACACACATCTGGGCAGGCACAGGGGCGGGGCGAGGCGATTACGCGTCGGACTGCGCCCCCAGAGTAGCCCGGGAAGTGTGGCTGTCAAGCATGAGTACACACACCATTACAGTGGGAACTCAGCATCATCATTTCCAGAGTGTAACAGCCCTCTCTCCGATGCAGCGATCGACATCTGATCCTCCCCTGGAGCCCCGAATGAAATAGCTGGTCCCTCATGAGAAGGACCAGAAATTCCACCCGAAAGCTGCCAGGCATGCAAAACAGTGAATGTGGCCATAACTTTGATGGCACACGGCACGCTGAGCGCTCAACCCCTCGTGAGAAAGGCAAGACGAACAACGTGCCCATGCTCTCATAAGAGAGCATAAACCACCCACGAACAGTCTCAGCATGTTTACGATGCACTAGAGGAGTGAGGGGTCCGAGGAGGTGGTCTCGTCAGAGAACGCTCACTGTAATCCTCAGATCACCAATGATAACCAAAGTAGCCCTTTTCTGGTGGCCACCAGAAGAGGAACTAGATCGGGGAATAGGCAAAGGGACTCCACCTCGTTTGAGGCACTTGAGTCTCGACCGCGCATCTAGAGCCCCGAATGACGCGTGCTGGGTTTCCGTGACAACCCGCGCTGTCAGCCGGCAGCTCGACGGCACACGGCACGCTGAGCGGCTCAAGCCTTTACGAGAAAGGGGAGACGAACAACGTGCCGACGTGGTCATGCTCTCATGAGAGAACATAAACCACCCACGAACGCAGTCTCAACATGCTTAAGCCCAGGCACGTGAAACAGTGATCGTGGTCGTCAAATGAGGACAGGAAACGACCGCATCCAGAAACACAAGGGTAAAACGTCATCCTGAAAAGGACGCGATCTTCACCCGTGTTGCTCTTTTCACGGAAAACGCTCTCTTATTGTGCTGAAGCACACAGGGATAAATGTGGCAACACAGCGGGGAAACTGCAAGCCCACTGTGCGCACTCAACCGAATATCAGCTGTGACAACAGCTCTTTGAAAAAAAGGCAGATCGCGTGAAGCAGCAGCTGGTACCCGGGAGATCGCGAAGATCGCTGAAGCGCCGTCACACCAAAACAGAGAGGTCTCGGAGAAAACAGCAGACTCGTTGAGCGTGAAGATAATATACCAATCTTGAAGCTCATCCACTCAGAGGACTAAACCGGTCGGCTCCGAAACAAAAAGCATATGTGTGTGCACTCGCTTCCGCTTTATACCCGCACTGGCAGGCGGGGTGCGGAATGCAAGTCCTGCATGCCAATATTCATTGGCTCGTTTTAATTCACTCGAAGGTAATTGGTCTCCCTAGCGTGATCCCAATTCGTTGGAAACTCCTCCGACGAGACGTAGGAGTTCCCGAACGAAAGGGAACTCCAGTTATCAGCTTAGACAACACACTCTTATGGAAATATTACAATCATACAATCTGCTTATGCCACACTGAGGATTAGGTTTAGGAATGGACCTTTATGCTTAGTTTTTTTGTCGCGAGACCAGGTTGGTTTAGACAGGCCAGATTCCAGAAGGGAACATGACATAATAAATAAAAATGATTATTTGCACATAGTCTGATGAAAATAGATGTATTTTATGTCATAATTAGTTCTAGTACATCTTTGTTAGAAGATCTTGGGATTTAGAACTAGCCTGACTACGTCAGACTTCGTACTTCCGCTCAATTTCAGTTCGCTTCTGTACTCAGTCTGAGACAGCGACCTATCTCTCAGTTTTCCTCCGGCCTGAAAACAGCTGGCCAATCAACGAACAGAGGGCGGGCTGAGAGCCGTGACGTAGACGCTAAGCACCGAGTTTAAGATTGTATTTTAGGTTAGGGAAATCGAAAACGATCGCGGATATGGAGATACGGGATGCAATTCGCTCTGTTGTAGAGAATATTCCCGGCATTTGCAAACTGAAGCCCGTACAAGAAGAGTGGTTTGTTAAACATTTTGAATGGAGGTGATGTTTAAGTTGGAGAGAGAGGTGATTGCGTTATGTGATTGGCTTACAGGTAAACAATAATTTTATACTTCAGACAAGCGCCCCCCACCCCCCGCCACCCCCCGCGAGAAAGAAAACACTTTTCAATTATGCCATTCCAGACTCTGTCTACGAAGCAAAGCGAAGTAGCAGAGTTTGGTATTACCAGGCTAATTTAGAACCAGAATGACGCTAAATGCTAATGCATTTCACAAGGCAACATATTGGAATAAATAAAAACTGCTAAAACATATTGCTAATGCATTAATAGCCCTTTCATTAGGACTTCTTTTTCATGCGCTCCAAAGCTCAGGTGATAAGGCAATATTTTTGTCCATAGTAGTTAAATAATAACTTAATAAACATTAAAAGAGAATATTTTCAAACAAAAAACCAAGAAAAACCAACTTTAATCCAAGTGCTAAAGTCTGTGCTCCAACATGTGTGCAGTGACTGGGTCATTAACCCAAGTCATTCACTGCATCTGAAAGCCTATTACACAAATGTTATTCACCATAACATATCACTGTCTCAATGATAAGCTATGTGCAGTGTTGACATCCCAATTGGTTCATCATCCCATAAGCGCCACTGTATCCTGTCCCTGGACTTTGGATGACCACAGTCAATGTGTTTACTTTCAAACAAAACCTATTTATTGAAGGATTGTTTGACTAGACCAAAGTAAAATGTTCTGTGTGCTCAAAGGTAAATAATCTTGACACAAGCCCAATGGTTTTCCAATAATGACTTGGCACAGACATCTACAGTTTAAAGGCCCACTGAAGTGCCTTGAAATGCGCAGCGCTTTTCAATGTGGTAACGTAATTTCCACTGAAACAGGAAGACAGGGCGGGACATATCGAGCAGCTCCTGCCTCTTTTTAAAATAGCCAATAGCGTTTCACTTCTATCACAGCTCGGCCACAGCCGTTGAGCTCGGCAAAGCTGCATTTGACAGCTTATGACAGCCAGGGTCTAATAGATTCCCCCTTTAGATTTAATATGAAACTGTTGATAAAGCAAAACAGTGATCATAATCTGCTGAGGATGCATAGTTTGAAAAGTGTAGTTTGTGTAGATGTGTGGTTTTGAAATGTATGTTGGTGCATGCATGGCACCGGTATTATCTCTTTCACTATTCAGTACTGTTTCTAGTGCACAGTCTATCTAACCATTTCTCCTCCTAATCTCCTCCATATCGCTTCAAAATATAGTATTCTGTGTAGAATTCAAATGAATCCGATATGTTTTGTGGTCTGCACCGACTCACGCATATGATCCATTCTGTCCTATCGTGTCTCTGGACTGGAGCTAACTGTGTGCACGCTGTGGCGGTTTGCGTGACACTAAAGCGAAACCAGACTTCATTCGCCCCAATGAAAAGCATATTTACACCGTGTGAATCGTTTCCTATCCCCTATATAGTGCACTACGTGCCATTCACCATGTAAAAAAATAGCATTAGTGTGAACAATTAACCGATTTCAGCCGCAGCTTCAACGTCTATTTATAGTGCAGGGGCAGGATGCTTTAGATTCTAGAGAGCATTTTATTGGATAGAAAATCTGAAGTGTGATGTCATCAAGTCAGAGTGATGTCATCAAGATGTCATCAAAATTGTTATTGTTATTAAAATTATGATATTAAATGTATTATTTATTAATTATTATTAATTAATATTAATTATTTGTTGTTAATTGTATAATTTATTTAATGATTTCTTACATTTTTAATTTACAACAAAATAAAGCAAAAAATAAATAAAATAAACAAATAACGCAAAATAACAATCCATGAAGCAATTTTGCAAATGCTGCAGTAAGCACAGCTGACAAAGCAGCCAAAGACATTCATCTGATGCATATTTACGTAAGCTAACATTTAAAAAAGTGTAGACTGAATCATTCTACCTTGTATATATACTGACCAACTTGATTGCAAATAAGACTACTGTGTTAAAGTGAAATAAATAACACATGTTTTTGACGTTGTGAAGTACCTGGAGCGAACAGCTCGGATCCTCGAGCGGACACCAGTCCAGTTCCACACAGCAAGCTCAGGTACAGCAGACTGAGAGAGAGAGAGTAAGCCATAGCTTCTGCTGTCTCCCTGTGTGGTAAAATAAGAAAAGAAAAATCATTATTTGTGGTGCTCCCGGATGACACCCCTCTGACAAATACTTAGCTGAAACCCCTAGAGAGCCCCGGGGCCATCTCCTCAGCATCTCCAATTAATTTCCCTACTCCTTCACACCAAATTGCACTGGCTGTTACCACCATTAATACTTAGCTGGTCTGCGTGAAACCCTATATGAGGAAAGCAGACAATTAACAACCAGACGCAACCTCTGCAACACTCAGCACTTCCAGCCATACGTGGGTTTATCATTATCTGTGGGTTACATGGGGTCTTTTAAGCATGCAGGCTGTGCGGGGGATGTTTTCACAAGCTAATACTCCACATTTACTGTGTTAAACTAGAATTTACATTATAAAATTATGCTAGGGCGACAGAAAACCTTTCAAAATGTCAAACGTTCATGCTATCGCCGCTAAAGGTCCTGGTGAAACATAATCTCATATGGAATGAAGCATAAAGAATTTAAACCAGCTTCGACTTATATTAGTGCTAGATGTGTGACAGAAATACTGTTGACAAGTTGCCATCATTCATTTTGTGATTTATGTATGTGGGGGCGCTTTGTGATTTGCACTTTGTACTTGGTTGATTCTGTCAATGTTCCTTCGCCCTCACCACATTTGGCACTTAATACAGTATTATTCAATAAAAGAGATAAAGGTTTGTCTGAAATGGTGATGACATTGTGACATAGTGAGAAATTACTGTCACAAGCATATAGGGGGAACAGGTTGTATCCAGCTAGCCCATGAGTTAGGCTAAAAATAAGTACACTATATTTGTTTGGTCAACACAAAAAAATCATAGAGAAGTCAGTGGCCCTTTGGGACTGGTGATTCTGATCTTAAAAGTCCAACTAAACATTATGTAGACAGCCTGATAAAAATAGAGAAAACACTAGTGATGTGGTTTAAATGTGTCAAATAAATTAAATTAAATAAAATCGAGTGGACAATTAATAAATACAATTGGCCAACAAACGTTGTTTAGACTTGCCGCGCGCCCTGATGTTTCAGAATCCGATCCGATTAATGATGAGTTCTGGCCTAAAACTTGGCTTCAGAGCTATTTTTATTATGCACTTGGCAGTGGATTGTTGAAAACAGCACCAGGCTATAATTTCCAAATGTGGAAAAATACACAGTCAGCAAATAACTGGCTTTGTTGCATTTGACCTATAGCTTCACCCCATCTCATCATCTAACAATGGTAGAATAACAACATGCAGGTTTCAGAACCCAGTCTCTTTTTTATTTTGATACTTGAATTGTAAAATACTTCTGTGTTTTGTATTTACATTCACAAAGCTGAGTAAAATAAAAGCTAGTTAAACTCGTTGAAAAGGCTAAAGATATATTAAAGCCAAATATTATACAAACTTATGTATATGTGCTTTGGTCACATGTCTGGTGCATACAGAGTCAACAAACTCGCCTAAAACACACTTGATCCTCTCTATCCTACTCAGAGACACGGCCCTTCTCAGTCAGCTATCAACGCTGCTATCATACAATGAAAGGTGTAAAAAGAACTACACACCCAGTTTGCCAGCTGGTCCAATTCTTATTAGCTGGCCTATGTGACTATATAACATTTAGCAAACTATTATTATGTCTAATTATTGATAGGCTAAAATAGTAAATTAATATAAAAAATAATGTGCACGGATAAATCATTTATAATAAACACTGCAATATTCCATAAAAAATGAAAATCGCCAATTTTGATTTAATGGCGACTTGCCCAAAAAAGTAATACAGTTTCCATGTTGTTTCTAATCCATACTGTATTGTGAAATTTCATTACAATTTGAAATAACATGTAAAATTATCATGTGATTGAAAAGCGGAATTTTTCAGCATCATTACTCGTGTCACATGATCCTTCAGAAATCATTCTAATATGCTGATTTGATGCTCAAGAAAATTATATTTCTTATTATTATCCGTGTTAAAAACAGTTGTGTTGTTTAGTATTTTTGAGGAAACAGTGATACATTTCTTTCAGGATTCTTTGATGAATAGAAAGCTAAAAAAAACAGCATTTATTTGAAATAATCCACTTCGCGTCATGCCTAACAACGCCCTTCAGCCGTTACTTATTCACGATACAGCACAGCCTCTCGTACCTTATTGCTTACTTTATTATATTATATTATATTATATTATATTATATTATATTATATTATATTATATTATATTATTTTGGCAATTCTGAGACATATCCAAACACTGTTCTCTGTTTGCAGTCGCATTTCCGCCATGTGGAGTGCTTGGATTTACTGGGAGGGCCGGTAGGATCCGACCCCATGAGGGATTTAAAGGGGCACGGCAGTCTGCACAGAGGGCCTGATTGTCTGGATAGCCATGAGAGGGTGGAGGGTGGAACCTCCCTTGAATCTGATTGGCTGAAGGAATTTCCCGCTTCTTGAGTGCTTCACAGATTGCTCCAGCACTGCATGCATATTAGGCAATGCTTCTCACCGTTTAACCTCCAAAATATCTCTGCTGTTGATAACATGACCCATCTTGGACAACATTTACATTTTTGTCATTTGGGGGCCATGTCTTTGAAACAAATGTTACTGTAATGTTTCTCTTTTAAATCCCTCAATATATATATATGGACAGCGCTGCACGGTAGGTTGTGCAAATAAACAGGTCTGTTTTGCATCAGTCGGAATGTGCGGTTGAGTGGATGACAGCCCACGGTTTGTTTCCGATTAATTTGCTGCTTGAAGCATTCAGGGCAAAACTTGATATAAATAAGAATTTTTTGCTATCAGTGTTGATGATTGGCTGGCTACAACCTTAATAAATGGATCTGGTGCTGGGTTGCATTTCTGCTTAAATGGATGACCTTTTGAGCCGAAGAAAGGTCAGAAAGCACAATTTTCACATCTTTACAATTCTGGGCACATTTGCAAACACAAAATTTCTGAACACTGACTGTTTTATTTATATCTTTTTTTTTTAACAGTGTAAGCTAACAGGTCTAGAGCTACAAGCAAGAGTAGAGTATCATTCCTGTTTGGCCAAAATCCAAGACTGAATTAATAACATCCCAAATTAGCACTGACATGTAGTTTACCGTTTCAAACTTGTTGATCTCTGTACTATATAATAAAATGTCCACTGAGTCATACTCTTGTTATGATGGTACACTCCAAACAGGAAGTAATACTAAATCTGCGTGTGGTGATGTACTCGGTCATAAAAATAGCTTTTAATGGTACCTATTTAGCAACTTTATATCAGCAATCATACAATCAAGCAGAGATTAAATCTATGTGCACTGAGACTAAAACCACTGTACCTTTTTCCAGTTCTTATGAGCTCAAACCTGCTGTCAGCATGATGTAAAACAAACACGTGGACATCACCTTTAGCAAACTGTGCTGAAACTAATGGATTGATGATATCAATCCATTACTACGAGTGTTGTTATGTAATCATACTATATACATACACCATATTATCCAAGTCACTTTTTCAAATAAAAGTAGCACACATTACTTTTCCATTTATCAGTCCCTCCAGAAAAACGCGATTATGGGATTGCATGATTTAGTGCATAATCAGCCAAAGTCCGCATATTTATGCGGGGGCCGCATTTTTTCAAATACGCGCACTTTCGCTGCACAAATTGCCGATTTCCGTGCAAAATATGCGGGGCTTGCATGATTCCATAATCCTCGCATTTTCGTTGCAAAAAAGTCACATACAGTATATCTTAGCAGAAAGTTGAAAAATGTTGCGTTTGCTTCACACAAGAGCAGCCATTTCCCCCTGTTGCCATGGGAACGGTATGAAGTGACGTAATTACGCGATGTGAACATCTTTGAAAAGCTGTAAAACAGGTGCACACTTTATTTTTTTATATTTTATTTATTCATTTTTACAGAAGTTGTAGCATATTCCTTTTGTAAAGCTACAGAACTTGTTTGACTCATCAATGTTTTGTAAGTTTGATGTGTTTAAACTGAAATAAAACAAGATGAGAACTTAAATATTCCCAGCACTTTCTGTGATGTAGTATGCTTGCTTATCATAGGAAGTAATACGAAATGACTCTTTACATTAAGGTAGTAGCCTAGTGAGAACAGTGTTGGGGGAATCACTTTTTTTTCTCTTTTTCATCAAACCGCAGTTTTTACAAGTTCCCGCAATTTCATCGCATAAAATTGCATAAATATCCTAGATATTCCATCGCATTTTTAAAGAAAACGGGCCGCATAATCAAGGATTTTTGACCGCAACTCTGCGTTTTTCTGGAAGGACTGATTTATGTACTTCATTTAGTTGCAAATAAAAATTGAAACACTCTGCTTTCCCATGTTGGGAGAAATCTGGATATGTTTAAGGGTATGTAAAAAAAGCTTTTTTTTCGTCAAAAATGTCATTTGGGTTGTGATATATTTGTTTGGAGATTCACACCAATGTGTTTCTTATGGAAGCTTGTTTTCGCCACAGAATAAAAAATAAAAAAGGTAATTGCGACTTTTTATCTCACAATTTTGACTTTCTGTTTTAGAATTGCGTGATATAAAGTCACAACTGCTAGTTAAAAGTCAGAATAATGTGATATAAAGTCTCAATTGTGTTACAAAGTCAGACTTTGATTTCTCAGAATTGCGAGTTTATAAGTTTATATGTAATTGTGAGATATAAACTAGCAAATGTGAGGAAAAAACTCTTTTACTCAGAATTGGACTAGCAAGTTTATATTTCAGTTCAAGTTCTTTATTCAGCCATGATGTTATTACAAACACAATCACATCAACAACAAAATAATACTGTTCAATACTGAATAGGAGCATAAAGAAGACATAGTCTTAGAAAAAAGTTCAGAATTGCCAGATATAAACTTGCAATTGCGAGATATAAACTTGCAACTGCGAGACAAAAAGTCAGAATTGCGAGATTTAAAGTGAGAATTGTGAGTTTATTTCTCGCAATTGCGAGTTTGTGTTTCATTCGGTGGCGGAAACA